AAATATATCTACTACAATAGGTGGTAGACTAATATGTACAATTTTGTTCATATATCTCATATCTTAAAATTAACCATATAATAATAATAATTACGCATTAATAAAGAAAATGAGACATGTCTCACCTTAACATTAAAAAAAAAAAATAATAATAATCAAGGTTGACAAAATTGTATTCTATTGATAATTGTTACACTTTTTTTATTATATTATTTATCACATTCTATAGTAAATAATACAATAAAAAAATATGACAATTATTAATAAAATACAATTTTGTCAATACTGAAAATAATATATATTAAGTAATATATAATATTTCAATAATAATAATTGTATAAATTAAAAAAACTCTTTTTCACTTTCTCTTCTGCACTTGAAAATTTCCTTTTTAGAAAGTTTTTGAGTTGTTTACTTTTTTTTTCTCTCACTTCTCTTTTTCACTTTTTCTTTCATATATCTTTTTATTTTTTTTTTCTTTAAAATATCACTTTTTTTATTTTTTCACTTTTTTTTTTTTCTTTTTTCTTTGCCAAAGCTAGGTTTTTTCTTTTTTCTTTGCCAAAGCTAGGTTTTTTCTTTTTTTTGAAGATTTTTCTTCTTAAACCTCTCTTTTTTTTTATAAAGACCACATCATAACATCAACTTTCTGGTCAATTAACTCTTTTGTCTCAAGAGTTATATCAATAATTGACAACTTCTCTCAAAATATGGACTTTAAAAAATTTTTTTCTTTTCATAGCTTCACAGAAAAAGAATGAAAAACTTATTTTCTTTCAAAAGATTAACATAGTTATCATTACCAAATCTGGTATTGTTTATCTATTGATAGTGAGATTAGATATATTTAAAAAACTGATATATAACTATTATTATTTGAAACCTCCAAGGAATTGTGACCTATAGTATTCAGAACAATATAGCAGCCAATACCAATATAACCAATCTGGTTATAGGTGTCATACTGGTGATTAAATAGTATAGTAGAATAATATATAAGAACCAAGAATTCTAGTTATCTCTATAACACGAGCTGATAATATAAGTTTCAGTATACAAGATTAGGTAATAACATTTATAAGAAATTTTAACTTTATCATATCTAATAACTTTTCTTAACAACCATTACTACATGTTTAATATTTCTTTTTCATTTTTCTTTATCTTATACTTGTGCTGGGTTTTATTCAAATACTTGAATAGTGTAATTATATATATGAAACTTCTTGTAAAAAACAATTGTTCTCTTTCCTACTTGTCACAGATGCAAACAACTGTTACAGACTTGAGTAACTTGTAACTTGTTACAATCTTAGAAGAATAAAAAAAGTTAAATATTATATGATTGAATAAAATGCTAATCTTTACTAAATGTTCTAGTTAAGATAGTAACTATTTAATTGTTTGAGCAAGTTATTCAAATGAAGTTTAAAGTGAAACACATTTTCTGTTTGCTATATATCAAGTCATATTTGAAAAGCAAATATGCCAATCTTAATCATAACTTGGAGGCCAACCTATATATTGTAGCTGCAGTATCTTCATATGATTAGGTAATCAAAATTCTTTAGGTAGCTAGATGCTATTCAAGGCCTAATATAGGTTTTAAATTTTATTTTTCTATATTCTTGAGTAATATTAAGGAGCTTAGATAGAAGGGTGTTTAACTCTTTCTAGCAAAGAGAGACATATATCATACTATTGATTTATAAATCTTGTATTGCAAGTCTAAAAGTATAAAATAAAATAGAGCATGAGAACCACCCATTTCTTCAAAAAAAATAAATAATAATAATTGTATAATTATATATAAATTATGTTTTATAAATATTGATATTAATAAAATTATATATTTATAATTTTATTAAGTTTTATTTTTTAAAATAAATAAATTATAAATTTATTTTATCTACAGTAATATGTACAAACCATATATTATAATTTTTATGATATAATATTTATTAAATTATTTTTAAGAGTTTTTTTTAAACAAGAATTTTTATTTCTTTTTGTTTTTTATATCGTTTAATTTGATTTTTTTAAAAAGTTTTTCAATATATAATAAAAAAAATTTTTTTAATAAAAGTTAAAAATATTATATAAAAATAAAAAGTTATTGAGAAAAATTTTTTGGGGGGTTTTTTTTTAAATTTAATTTATTAATTTAAATTAATTTTAATAATAAAAATTGAAACGACACATGAATGACTGGATTATCGAAAATTTCTGGTCCTATTCAGCAATTATTAATTATATTATATATATATATTTTCATATATTTTATAAAGTAATTGCTATTGTGGATTCACGAATATAATACTACGATCTTTCGGATTTTTAAATTACTTTTTGTAACCTGCAAATAAAATCATTCAAATAAGGTGCAAATGCGCAGACAAACAAAAGCAAAATGAGGCGTGTATGGCTTACCATTACCATTTGTTTTTATTTTATTGGTGTAAAACATTTACATCTTTACAACTCAATGCGAAATAGAGCTAAAAATAGAATTAATGAATTTTCTAACTTCCCACCCTGTGTTTCTTATAAATTTTCCCACGTTATTTACATGTTTCAATATACCTATTGTGTGTATGTAGCCGTGGTTTCTGTTGGCCTTGGTCTTCGCGATCATCAGTCACGTTGCAAGAAATTTGCGTATCAAACATGCCGTACATAGTATTGTCACTTTTAGAAAATAATAAAAATTTTTTTGTCATTTCTTATAAGTTATTTAGTTCAAAGAAAAACAAATAATTGATACATTAAACACATCATTATTACTGTGACCACAAGGCGTTTTGAATCGTAAGTTTGAAAACCTTACGTCCGAAAAATCATTAACTTGACCGGTTTAACATTCAAAATTTGCCATCAAAGCATGACAATCTTAGGAACCCGTGTACATGAACTGACCTTAATACAGAAAGCGCTGAAAATCTCGGGTCACCTTTCAATTTAAATGATGCGGGTTTTGGTAAACGAAAGATGTCACCATCATTCTCTTTCATAGTATGTATTGTGGTTTTGGTAGTGCACGAACCAGTCTAGTCGATCCCAGGTGATTATACCGTACAATGTCGATTGCTTAGTAACCTATCAAATTAGTTTACTTAGTAATGCTACAATCATAAAATCCTTTTTTTCGAGTAGTAGGAGGGACGGGATCGGTGCGGGTCATGTTACATGGCGCAGAGGGAGTCTGTTGGAAATTTGCATGACGCGACGTTAGATTGTGGACGCGTCGCAGCTAATATAAATAGAAGTAGGATTAGAATAGTGAATATAACCAATTGTGCTCGCTGCATAATTAATAAAATTACCTTATTGAAATACTTGTTGCCTAAAGAATCCAGTGGTAGCCAATATCGTGCCTATTGGTGAAAGGTTGAGCCACAGGATAAGCGGGAACGACAAAAAAGATCTTCCTCTAACCCACGAACTTCTTAACAACATCGGCTCGGGTATTAACTTCAAACGATCAGGACTTAAGACCTTATTGGAACGAGCAAGTCGCGGAATGGTCTCGGAAGTTGTGGTTGCCCAGCGTGATCGACACTGTCGGTTTGCCTTTGACTGAAGATATATAACAGAAATTGGAAAGAAAATGCGCGGAGATTAGTTTGATTAGGATTACATGCCGATAGGTTAAGTTCCCAGAGAGATCTTCTAGACAATTCTACATTAAAGCGAAAAAAAAGAAAGGCGAAGAGATTAGATAATGCGATTGCGAGGATCTTTCGAAAGATCAGGAATCTACATAATGAGCTTCACAAAAAAATCAGTGAATCACCTGATCCAAAATTACGATGTTGTGATCATACCTGAATTCAATGTAAATACATGGTGAAACGAGATTGACGAAAAATCAATTCGAAAGTGGTTCGGAGCATGCTTACCTGGTCACATTATGCATTCCGGCAGCGGCTGAAACACGAGGCCGAGGAAACAGGCGTGATGGTAATTATCCAGGATGAGGCGTACACCTCCAAGACCTGCAGCTATTGTCGGAACATATAAAACATCGGCGGAAGAAGAGTTTATAAATGCGGAAACGTCATACGGGTTATAGACATAGATGTAAACGGAGCCCTCGGGATCTTCCTACGGGCGTTGCTCGATGGAGTCATCCACATTTGGATTTAGGAATTGATGATCCGTAGAGGATCGTTGTTTATGTAATCAATTACTAATACCAATGGATTTTCCGCTAACACTCGGTACATCACCAAGCGTCTCATCACAAGTTTCATAATAATTAAACCGGATATTTAATTTCGGAGAGGAATCAGTGCATAATTGTCACATAGAGATGTATGCACCTAACCTCATTAAATCTTGTAAAGAATGGATCACAGCTAGGACGAATGGTGACGGCGCTTTAACCTTTAATAATCTTTTTTAAAAGAAAAAAATTTTGAGTTTCATTATACGTAAATAAATTTATTCTTCTTTCAATAGGAGCCTAACCAATAAAACGGAGATCGTAATGCGATATTCAATTACTTTTGAATTTTTAAACGGATTTCTATTTTCTGCACAACCGCGATGACTGGTGGTGACATTGACCTCGAAATTCGTGAGAATCCGAATACATTCTCACAGGTTAATGAAATTCATTCTCCCGGTGATGATTATGACCTTCAAATCAAGGGTCAAGTTTTATAATCGCATAACGACATTTCTTGGTTGATCTTACACACTTTATTCTTGGGAAGGTATCACCAAACCCATTTGTGTCATGATAATTAAGTCAAACCAATCAATTATGATCTTCTTAATCTCCAAGACAGTATCCGCACGAATAAATTGGTCTAGACATGTGAATGAGGAGAATAAAGAAAAGCACATCAATCTCAATTTAAATGAATAAAATGATAATGATTAGGTTTCCTTTTTCTATCGCTTTCTCCTTTACTTCATGTAGTCACATCTGCCGACTTTGTATGATTTGATGCGCGGGAAATAAAACGGGTTTTGCTAAAAAGCAAACTAAATTAGAATGATCTCTATCATCCGACTTTTAACAAAGAAAAAATAATCACGTGCGAATAAAAGTGCCGGCATATGTTTTGTCAAAGAAAAAAATAAATAAATACTGAAACCCTAAAGGGGAAATAAATTATTTTACTAATCGCATATTTGGTAATAAAATCCCGGAAAATTCAAATTGAATTCTTTCCTCGCTTAATTTAGAAAGATGATGGAAAAGTACATACCCGGCAACTATAAAAATTTTCTATAAATATGATACCCTTCCTAGAAATTTAAATCAGGAAATTTTTAGGTTAGAATATACAAAATTCTTTCGTAAGAAAATAGATCATCAAAACATTAGAATCTACTGCTGTCTTGTTTAGAATTGTGGTAAGCTGACATTCCAATTTCTTTTCTTTTTTACATCTTCGTCTCCCGTTTTGCTTATTTCATTTCTATTTGTCCACACTTTTTCTTGGTTTCGGCTTCAAATATTTTGACCGAATGCAAAGATATTCTTTCGCTAGGTAAAGATGACGTTTGTCAAAAACAAGGTTTCTCAAGCCTTCCAAAAATCACCGCATGCAACATCAAAGAAGACCATTGATAAATTGTTATCGAAATCTTTGGCGAGATCTTTGGTGTGAATAAGAAAATATTCATATACTGTATTTCGATTTTCATAAAGAAAAAAAAGGATACCAAATTTCTAACGCTCTTCAATTCTTCTCTCAGAAAAAACGGCGCGAGCAAAGAAAATTAAAAAAATTAAACTCCTCAAAAAAGAAGCACAAACATCATGATCGCGTATACGAACCTTCATGTGATAATGTAAAAGTTTACGACAATGGAAATAAAAGTGAATATGAGAATTTACAAAAAAGTTTACCACCAACGTACGCTCCCGGAAAATCATTGGGCATCGTAGATAAAAACACGAAAACGTCTCCTATGAACATCATGAATCTATTACTAGTTTCAGATGAAGATGACGTCACCCAAGTATATGGATCAAATAGTGATTCAGTTTCGTCTCCGACCTCAAGTCCGCCATCAACACCGGACTCCTCAAATTCGTCCACTGAGCAGCAAACACCGAAATCTCAAAAAATCATGTCATCAGGGCTGAAGAGTAAGGGCAACTCCTTCGCGAGAGTGATGATAGATCGTGGAATGTCCGAACATCCTTCAATTCCTACGGAATTAAGTAGTGTCAATCTTACCAGGATTCCATCGACGCCGCATTTGGAATGGGAAGATTTAATTAAAAACATTGAAAACATGAATCTCGACACAAGTAACTTGGACAATATAACCCTTAATATTCAATGGAAAAGCAATCCTTTAAAGATCTCGCATCTACAACGTTATGAGTATTTGCATAAAACTGAAGCGGAAGTAGCTTCCCTTCTACGGCTTACACCGGTTCAATATTTAACCTCAAAAAACACTTTACTCTCGGCTTCACGCAGATATCAAGAGAGAATGTTACCTTTTCGAAAAAGTGATGCACAGAAGATGCTAAAAATGGATGTGAACAAAGCAAGTAAGCTGTGGGAATTCTTTCGACAGGCTAAATGGCTCTAGATTCCATTTTTGGGCAACATTCTCTTAAGCATCGATCTTTTACAGATAACATAAGATTATATATAAGCAAAGTTAAATCTAATTCCCTAAGTTACCATCACTAAGCTGTATGTCAACACAACTATTTTCAAATAAATAATATGAACAATCGTAATTTGACATTTCAAACTTCTTCCGTCGTACAGTAAAGGAATTGTTCATTGTTCCTAGAGAATTTACTTATTATGTATATGGAGAGCTCCGGGGTATTCGGGATAATCCTCGAGCAAGGCTTTTTTTTTTATATAGCATATGCGTGGGTAAATCGTGATCAGATTGTACCTACATACAATATTTGTCGATTGTAGTACGTAAATAATTTAAAATAATTCACATTACCTTTAGGCACAGAAATTTTAAATTATGGAATTGGTTCCCCCCCGCACGTGTGATTTGACATGAAAATCTCGGTCTTTCGATGTTGTCCGAACGCACACACAATAGCCTCTTGTGGAACGGGAATTCTGAAAAATCAGAATCATTGGGATGTTGCGGTCCGCAAAAAATAAACAATTATCCATTTTTGAATGCGCGGACAAACTCATCATTTTTTTAAGCTATAATTTAAAGATATATATTTTTTTTTTACGCCGCATGCACACCATTGGTTGTGTATGAGAAAAAAATTTTTAATTCCTTAATATATTAGGTCCTACAAATTTTCCCTCGAGGTTTCATTCATCCACCAACTACTTCCTCACCTCTTAACGTCATTCATAAATAACCGATAACGAAAAAAAAAATCCTATAATTTGCAAATGTTAAATATCAGAGAGAACAAATCCAAATCGAACACTCCTTAGTTTACACGGATGATGTTATAACCCTATTTTAATCTTCCATCCTTCTTTAACACTGTTCTTGTCGAAATTTTCGAGCGTATAATTAATTTCTGAACTCCACAAGAAAAAAAAAAAAAAGAGCAATTTTCGTTCCGAGACAATGGCGAATCAAACTTCCAGTTCGCACGAGATCTCAATCAAATCTTTGAAAGATCCGACCAGCAATGCACCACCTTTGCCAATGCTCAAAGAGAGAAAACCCGATTTGAATGATAAGCGCAAAGCAACCTTGGAAAGACTCGATAATGAAAAATTTGGGTGGTTCCATGTTCGTGTTTGTTTGATCGCTGGTATAGGATTCTTCACGTGTGCCTATGATGTATTTGCGATTAACATGGTTTCGGCGATGTTGGGATACGCTTACTTTTCCGATAATAATAACTCGGTACCAAATGACCTCGATGTGGGTTTGAAGACCGCTGCAACGATCGGTACTCTGGTTGGCCAAATTGTGTTTGGAGTTTATGCCGATAAACTTGGTCGCAAAAGAGTTTGTATTTTACTGTTCTCATCCTTATTCTCCTTGCCACCTTACTATTTCATTTACCTTGGTTTTCCTTTCATGCTTTAGTTGTATGGAATTGAACTTTTGATTGTAATTGTGTCGACTGCCGGTATGTTCCATGTATAGCTTTCGTGCTTCGACATATTTATCATGTTCCATGTCAAAGTTAATAATCTCACTTTGATTATGTAGGTTCTACTCTTGTCGCCCAATCTTTTGCTGTAAGATATTTTTTGAGGTGAAGATGCCATGACACTATATCCTGCTAATACCAATATTATCTAATTTGAAGGTTTCGCTATTCAATTCGTTCATCTTTTGGAGGGTCATCTTAGGCATCGGGATTGGCGGAGACTATCCCATTTCCGCAGGTATTTTAATCGACTAATGGACATTTCTCGGAATCAATTCTTATCATAGTTTATATGAACATCTTAATTTCACTTTTTTAGTCTTTACAAGTGAATTTTCAAACACAAGTTCACGTGGGGCAATGATAGCAGCCGTTTTTGCAATGCAAGGCTTCGGTATTCTTTTTGCGGCCCTAGTTTCACTCTTGGCTCTTATGGCAATGAAACCTTCCATAGATAAAGATATTCTTTATCTTGATTATGTCTGGCGTATTGTGCTTGGAATTGGCATAATACCCGCGGTGATGGGACTTTACTTCCGCATCACCATACCGGAATCACCACGCTGGACGATGGACGTTCAGGGTAATGTTGAAAAAGGTGATAGAGATGTCAGCAATGCCTTTTATTATGGATATCATGTTAAGGACAAAGATGAATCCAAGTATATCGCGTCGACGCCAAAACCTACGTGGAAAAATTTTTGCAATTACTTTTCTATATCAGAAAATTTCAAGGTTCTCGTTGCCACATCTATTACCTGGTTTGTTTTAGATGTAGCGTTTTATGGGATTGGATTGAATCACTCAATAATATACACCGCTGTTAATGGTAACTCAGATCAGAGTCCGTATGAAGCATTGCGTGGCATAGCAATAGGAAATGCGTTTTCCACCCTTATTGGTTCTGTGCCCGGGTACTGGTGTAGCGTTTTTCTGATAGACAGATTAGGTCGTAAATTCATTCAATTGATGGGATTTGCTATGCTCACCTTGTGCTATATCGTACTTGGATTTGCCTACCAGGCAATTAATAATACACTATTTAGTATATTGTTTACAGCATCTATGGTAAGTTTTTCGGAAATTACTCATAGTTTATCTTTTCTATAAAACAGTGACTCAAATAACCTCTTTTTCCTAAAAGTTCTTTCAAAATTTTGGACCCAACACCACCACGTTTATCCTCCCTGGTGAGTTTTAAAATTTCAAATACGATTGATTTATATCTGTCGTTAATATCGCATACTCACACCTTACGTTAATCTCCAGCCGAATTATTTCCTACCCGTTTTCGTGGCACCTGTCATGGTATAGCCGCTGCTAGTGGAAAGCTTGGTGCAATAATAGCCCAAATTGGGTTTCTTCAGATGAAAGATATTGGTGGACCAAATAAATTCATGGATCATTTGCTACAAATATGCGCGTTTTTCACATTAACAGGGTTCTTCTTTACATTTCTAATTCCCGAGACAAAACGGAAATCATTAGAGGATAATTCAAATGAAGAACAATCAGGCTTCATCAAAAGCAAATACCTTTTACAATCTAAAGATACCAAAATAGTTATAAATACATCTTCGAAAACGTATTGCAGTTCTCCCATAAGTTCCAGCAGCCACCCGCATACCCCGCGCTCTCCTACATCAGATATGCCTCTTCGTCCACCAACATCTAAAGTAGGAAATTATTATAATAACAACGGAGCAATGTATAATAATTTTGGTAATAGGTCATCACCAGAAATGACACCGAATGCTTTGCCCGCCGATTATCCCAACACATCAAGAATGCCTCCATCATATCACTCACCAGTTAAAGTCAAGTTTTCAGAGCAACCATAATAATAACAATTTTAGATTTATTAAATAATTCATTTAATCATTTTTATGACATGCTTAGCCATTTATTTACTCAACATATTATATGAATGCTTAATTACATTCAATTTCAGACTCTTAATGGTGGGGAAATTTCCCATCTCTAGTTAAACAATATTAATTTTATATGAATGACATCTTTCTTCTCTGTTCGAATTTCAAAGAAGTCACAAGTCATTTGTTGTCAAGATTTAGCGTGCCTTCTTCAAAAAATACATTTTTTTTTGTTTTCAGAAACCTAATAATTTGTACAATAAATATTACATTAAACAACATGCGACAAAAAACATAATAACTAGAGTGAAAACCATTATAAGTCTGAAGCAAAATTATAAATAAATGTATACAATGTGTTAAGAACGCATCATATCACGTGATTATAGCTCCTTATAATCAATTACAAGCTGACAACGTTCGCTAATAGACATGATTAAATTTACTATAATTTTTTTGAAATCCGTTTTTATTTCTTAACTATAAATTAATTTGATTTTTTAATATCTTGAAATTATTGTATATTGATATCTCTTTGATAATAATAGGTTACAGATTTTTATAGTAGATTTATATCAAAACCATTTGAAGGTCAATTTATTATAATAAAAATAATTGCTTAAGAAATTTCTTGACTATTTTAATTGTATATTTAGATTATTATTATCATTTATAATTATAATATATATCAAATATAAGACTTTATTAAACAAAAGTTTATTATAAAATTATTAACACATAATTTATTAATTTTAAAAAACATTCGTTAATAATATTAATCATGTTATTATAGAACAATAAAAATTGATTTTATCTTTAATTTAAATTTTATTTCAAAGATCAAAGATTATTTTATTTTTAAAAATCTATTGAATTATCATAATATCTTTATATTAATATTTAATAATATTAGATTTTTAATTCATAACATAATAATTAATGCTCTCAAGTTTCTATCACAAGATATCAAGTTTAATTCTAAAAAAAAAATACTTAAACAATTTAATATAATATTTGATATTATAATTTACCAAGACTTTTTTTTTTATATTTAGATTAAACAAATTTAAAGTTTAATAACAATATAAAAATTAAATTTTTAAAAGTTTTAAGTATAATTAATTCATACTTATATATCAATTAATAGAATATATAAGAATATTAATAAAAGTTTAATTTAATTGTTATTATTGATTATATAAAAATTTGTTTTATAAGAAATTTAAATGATTAATTAATAATTAAATATATATAATTATACAAACAATTATATTTTTGGTTTTGTTTAAATTTTAAAATTAAATAAATTTGGAATAATTATGTTATATTGGTTTCTATTATTAATCTTTTAATTATTTTTTGGGATCTTATAATTATATGTATTTAAAATATAATTCAAAATTAAAATAATAAAAAAATAATAATCAAAGTTTAACAATTTATTATATACTGTATATCTAATATTTATCAAATATATATACAGTATAATGTAAAAAAAAAAAAAAAAATTGTAATTAGCATATATGATATTATTGCCTAATTAGAATATAATTGAAACTTGAAAAATTTATAGAATTTTTAATTTAATTTCTTATATATATAAAAGAAAAAAAATATATTGACAATAAAAAAAAACAATAATAAAGTATCTTTTAATTACTAATTTACTTTGTTTTCAACATACTTACATATTTATAATATTATTAATAAAAAATTATAAAAAATTATTCTAAAGATTTATAAATCTTGATTTAATTAATTTATATATTAATAATTAATTTATTTATTTATTTATTATTATTATTATTGATTAGATTTTTTAAATTGATATTTTTTTTAAATAATAATTTAAATATATAACTTAACTTTATTCTTTTTATATTTTTATCTTATTACGTTAAATTACAAATGGATTTTTTTTTCAATATTTGGAACCAGATTGTAAGTTATTTGTTTACGTAGTAAAAATAAAATTATTATTTGTTGATTTTTTTGTATCACCAGTCTGTACTATGACGAAAAGCATATTAAGCATGATTTCCTTTGGTGGTGTGATGTATAAAGGGTACAAAATGCATCCTTCCTGCAGTACAATTCATTGGAGGCTGAGATAATCAGCATGTTGATCGCAGTTTTTGTACTTTATGATAAATGATACGACTAATATAAAAAAAGCGAATCTCGAAGAGATTCTCATTATCTCAAAAAAAAAAAATGACAACAAATAATGACTTTGAAAATGGCCGTGATTATCCCATAGTGTCAACTTCTAATTCTATTAACACACGAGAACATTCGGAAATTGATGATGCAACAATATTAACCGGAGTTTCTGCACAGGATAATTTTGAAACAGATGATCAACCTCGACAAAAAGCAATCACCTTGCATATACAAGGAATGACATGCAATTCCTGTCAAACATCCATTGCTACCGCGCTAAATTCGACGCCTGGTGTTAAAAAAGTAGATGTGAGTTTAGAGGGAAAATATGCGGTTGTCACATACGATGTCCTTTCTTTGAGCGAAAATGAGATTGCAGATATCGTAGAGAATTGTGGTTACAATGTTCTGAAAAACAACAAAGCAATTTCAAAGAATGAAAATGTCAAACAAGTAAAATATTCTTTATTAGGAATGATCAACGAGTCTTGCGTTAACTCCATCACTAGTTCTCTAAAAAATATTAATGGCATTAAAAATGTTAATGTTAATCCCGACTTAAAGAATGTCATTGTATGGTATGACGAAGAAGTTATCAAAAAGCATGAGATTGTTGAAACCGTCGAAAAGTGTGGATACAATGTCACGCCCGAAATTGGATCCTCTTCACATTATGATGAAACTTCTCTCTCAACAGTTAGCATTCATCAGTTCGACCAGAAACAATTCCGTACTTGTCAATTAAAAGTTCGCGGAATGACTTGTGCCTCGTGCGTGAGTAGTGTTGAAAAAGTAGTTAAAAATGCTCCAGGAGTAATTTCAATCCAAATTTCTCTACTTGTCGAACAAGCAACCGTGGAATACGACCCGAATGTTACGAGTGAAGAGAGTATTGTTTCATTAATTAACTCTATTGGATTTGAAGCGTCCCCTATTATAAAGAAGAGAAAAGATACTGTAGAACTTCGAATACAAGGATTGAATGACCCTGAAGATGCATACAAACTCGAGAAGAACTTACACATGTTTGCGGGAGTCCTATTTGTGTCAGTAAAGTATGCCAGCAGTCTTGCTACTATTCAATTTGAAAATGAGACGACAGGTGTCCGCGATATTATTTACCACATCAATGACCTTGGATTCAATGCTTCACTCAATGATAATAGTAATAAAGAACAGTTGGAGTCACTTACTCGTGTCAAGGAGATTGCTGAGTGGCGTAGATTATTTTATTGGTCTCTCGCTTTTGCCATCCCAGTGTTTATCATTTACATGATTTTACCGGAGTTTGAATGGGGTTCTAATTTAGAAGGCACACAAATATTCCCAGGCATTTACGCCGGTGATTTACTTTCGTTAATTTTAGCTACACCTGTTCAATTCGGAGTTGGAAAAAAGTTCTACATCATTTCATACAAAGCTCTAAGGCATAAGACAGCAACAATGGACCTTCTTGTGGTTATTGGGACTACCATTGCATTTTTATTTTCTTGCTTTGCCATGTTGTATACAATATATGATCCTAGCTATCCGAGACAACCAGTGTTTTTTGACACATCTACCATGTTGATCACGTTCGTGATGCTCGGAAGATATCTTGAGAATAAGGCCAAAGGCAATACATCAACAGCACTTTCGAAACTCATGACACTAAGTCCCAGCAATGCAACCATCTTAATTAAGGATCAACAGAGCGGACGATATATTAAAGAGGAGAAAATTCCCACGGAATTATTACAAGTAGGAGATATAGTTAAGGTTATTCCTGGTGAAAGGATTCCTGCCGATGGTATTGTCATTTCCGGACGATCTACAGTAGATGAATCTATGGTGACTGGAGAAGTCAATCCTGTAAAGAAAGAAGTTGACGATATGGTAATTGGAGGAACAGTTAACGGTTTTGGAAAACTTGAAATGAAAGTTGCTCGCGTAGGAAGCGACACCGCTTTGTCCCAAATCGTAAAGCTCGTGGAGGAGGCACAGACCTCTAAAGCTCCTATCCAGGAATTTGCCGATACCGTGGCTGGATATTTTGTACCTGTCGTTGTCATATTAGGATTACTAACGTTCGTTGTATGGATGATCCTGGCAAATGTATTGGATAATCTTCCAGCAATATTTTATCAAGAAAACAGTCGATTTATGGTTTGTCTTAAATTGAGCATCTCAGTGATTGTGGTTGCTTGTCCATGTGCCCTCGGTTTAAGTACTCCCACAGCAGTTATGGTTGGCACAGGTGTTGGAGCACAGAATGGAATATTAATTAAGGGAGGAAGTTCCCTTGAGTCAGGGAATAGAGTCAATGAAGTGATTTTTGATAAAACTGGAACCTTGACCAGAGGCCAACTTGATGTTACTCATTCTGAAATATTAACAGAAAGCCTTGAGTTCACGCATGAAACGTTTTTCGCTATTCTCGGAGCCGCCGAATCTTCCAGTGAACACCCTTATGGAAGAGCTATAGTCAATTATACAAAAAATCTTTTAGAAGTTGAGAATATTAATGCACAGGTTACCAATTTTGAAACGATTGCGGGGCAGGGCATAAAGTGTGACGTAAGTTTAAATACATCGTATTCGATAGTGCCATCACTGTCAACTTCCACTAGCACGGTTGGAAAGTTATATAATGTATTGGTCGGGAACATTCAACTCCTCCACAACCAATCCCAAATATCAATTCCTGAAACGGCACTAAAGATTAAAGAGAACAATGAGAGCCTTGGCCGAACCGTCATCTTAGTAGCCATAAACAATAAATTTGCCGGATTAGTATGTCTATCTGATGTTATAAAGTCTGAAGCAAAATTAACAGTCAATGCGTTGAATAAGATGGGCATCTCCGTTGCCATGGTGACTGGGGATCAAAAAATCACTGCTGAAAATATAGCCGCGCAATGCGGTATCGAAAAAGTTTATGCAGGTGTTTCACCCAAGGGTAAAACTCTTATTGTTAAATCTCTTCGAAATGAAGGTACCGGTAATACGGTTGCCATGGTTGGAGATGGCATCAATGATTCTCCTGCATTAGCCGCAGCCGATGTAGGAATTGCACTTTACTCTGGCACAGACATCGCGATTGAGGCTGCCGACATTGTTCTTATGCGATCGGACCTTACCGATGTTGTTGCTGCACTAGACCTCTCGCGAACAATCATTCGTAGAATTCGTTTGAATTTTGTATGGGCCTGTATTTACAATATTATTGGCATTCCATTAGCCATGGGTTTCTTTCTGCCTTGGGGATGGCACTTACATCCGATGATGGCAGGTGCCGCGATGGTATGCTCAAGTGTTAGTGTCGTATGCTCGAGTTTAATGCTAAAATTTTGGAAGAAACCTTTGTGAGAAAAGGTAAGGTTGAATTTATTCCCAAGTTCATATGTCACGTGAATGTAAAATGGAGAAATCTTGAATACTTTCCTTGGAATCCTGGTAAAAAAAAAAAAAAGAATTCAACTAGAAATCTAAATATTTAATAACTCTCAAATCGCATCTATATACTGTATTTTATGTGCATATGTTTAAAGAAAAAGGATTACTCGTGCATTATATTAATATATAAGTTATTTATATATAAATATGCAATACAGTTTAACGAGACAAATAAAGCATATTTTGTAATATTCAATTATGATATAAAATTTTTGAAAACATTTATATAAAAAATTATATTTTTTTTAATTATCGTAAACCAATTGAAGTTTCATGTTCAGTATCAAATGAAAATAGCGTTAGGATTTTTCGCCTTATTCAAAAAATTCGACAATAATCAAATTTTATTAAAATAATAATAATAATAATAATAATATTATTATTATTATTTTAAATTCTTCCTGTATATAAAAAATACAGTATATTAATTTATTATTATTATTATTATTATTTTTTAATATATTTTATATATAATATTATAAAATTTAAATTTTTTATTAATTAAAAAAAAAGATTAAATAGTTATTGGATATATCGGTTAAAATAGTCTAAATTTTAACCCTTGCACAATATCGTTAGGCTTTAGTGCAGTCAGTTATTCGGCTGATTACCTGTCTAGTAACTTATTTATCAGGTGATTAACGTTGATTACCGAATATCAGTTTTATTCGAAAGGGAAATCATTAGTAAATGCCTGATAAGAGTTGATACACAGCAAAGTCATGCGCAGAAACAAATTTACGATTTGAAAATATAGACAATATTGTACTAAATTATAATATACAGTATCTAAAATTTCACACCAGATAAAGAACGTTCTTAGGAATATAATCCACTAAAAATCTCAATTTGATTAAAACCTTTCTAAGCCCCGATTTGATATGTAACAATGATATGTAAATAATAATTGTCATTTATTCATTTATTATAATATTAATACTGATCACGACTATAAAGATCTTACAATGATTTAATTTTAACATATATATGTATATAACTTAAATTTCTATGCAGCCTTGATTATTTATCTGCAGTTACCAGAAATGTATACAGTTGTATGATTGACTAATTTGCCAAAATGTAAATGACGCAATAAAACCCCCAACATACGGGACGCCAACCTTATTCTGGTCACACTTTACCGTGCCACATTACGTGATTTACGTAATTTTCGTTCTTTCTATCATTATTAAAGGCCTTAGTCGATTCGAATTTAATGCGTTCTTCCTTTAAAAAGTAATATATAATCATTGTTATAAAGGAATTTATCAACATAATTAATTAGATTCAATAAATGACATCAGGATTCTTCGTTTTCTTCCCCAGCAACCATAATATTAGCTCCCCAAGAATCGAGCACCCTGAAATTGTCCATTACCTCATCTTCGGCGTATGAGGTAAATGCACAAGACACAACTTCCTTCAGTAAGAATTTGACGATGAACATCCAAAGATCGGTGTCACCCTCGCAAAGACCGGAGTTGAAATCGAGAGCAAGCCGTGGAATGTTATATTCTTCTAACTTATAGAATTTGTGGTATCTCATATTCGAATAAAGAGAAATTACGCGTTTGCGTCCGGATTTCTTACACCTAGGACAATTTTTTACATCGAGGGCATCATTTTGACATGTTTCAGGTTCGTAGTCGATTTACACGGACCGAAAAGCCTTGATATTTGGGAGAATATACATCACTTCCTCAAAGCTCATCTCGTATTGAACTTCGTATTGACCGACTTCAATCAGGTGAATCTTCGAACATTCGAGAGCAATTGGTTTTTCGTGTAAAACCTTTCGAGAACCGAAAGGATGGTGAGCGGTAATGAGAGCGAATTAATGATAACACGATGTAAATCATAATTGGTTTCAAAGAAATCTGGTGCCTTCCACCACAAAATAAGCTTAAAGGAATGATTATGAACACGAGATAATTGGTAAAATAATAATTGTAAATAAGATTGAGGAATAACCTAAAAATTCGGTTGATCATACTATCCCAACTGCTCGGAAATGTCCTTCCAGTCGATGGGTTTCCGGACGGGGTCCATGTCATTACTCCACTTGATCTTCTCGCACTCAATAGCGGTTTTGATAAAAGTTGACGCAAGACCAAATGTGTTGAAATATGCTGTTGTCAGTGTGCCTTTGAACAGCAAGTAACATATCGACAACTTGAGCAAGGGATCAAGGCTCGAGATTTGGTTAACTAGAATTTGTTCATAAACATTTAAAAAAACTCTTCTTGGTTATCGTTGCAGGAATATCAATTTTTTTCATCACTTTTAAGATCCTTGATCGCCTCACTTCAATCTCAGCGAATTGAATAATCGAAATTCCTACAAACTTTTGAACAATAGTAACACATGCGACAACTTCTGAAAGGGTGAAGAACCCTAATGCAGAGTTCTTCGCAAGTCTCACGACAGCGGAAACATGTACCAGCAATTTGATTCGGAAATTTGTGTAGGAATTAACGCGACCTAAACCGGATCTTTATGCATTTTCCGAGAGGTCCCATTTTTAGTGAAAAATTTCTCAAGCATTCCGAAAACTTTTTAAGCAACGACTCCTAGAATTAAACTCTACCAGAGTTCTACGTTTAAAAGAAAATAGAGAATTTACCGTCAATGTGCGCATCGTTCCCCGCTTATATGTCATTCTGACGTCGCTAACGTTACGCACACCAGCCACAACCATAGGAAGGTTTCAAGAAAAAAAAAAAAGGATTATGCAAGGTGGCGAAGTTTGAGGATTGAACGAATCGCGATTTTCGTACTCCTTCTTTCATGAAAAAGGAAACTATGCATTTGAATCAATATTACCAAAAGTGATATCCCCAATTTATCTAATATTCGAACTTCTCCGATCTTCATGAATTTTTTTGTGAGTCTCTATTACCCTTTGGAGTAAGATCTATAAAAATTCATTAATTGTCCGATCTTCCTTCTCAATGAGACCCTGATCATTACACAATCAATGATTAAGAGTGAATTCTAGATCTCTTTGGAAAAAAAATTTTTAAATGTTTTACAAGGTCAGATAACAATTTTAAATTAAGTTGTACACGCATACCATAAAAATTAATTCCTCAGATGAATTTTGCCGGGAATGATTTACTCTTGCACAAGCGTTCGGGTTGCTCCCTGTGACGTTACGATTTTAAATATCTGGTTTCAATATATTTCGAAATGATTAACAAACATACAGACAATTAAATGGCGCCAAATTTGAAATTGAATGACATAATCGTCTAACCAAAAAATACAAAACCTCCAGAACACAGAACACGAGAGATTCTTCGTCTTTAACCACCTATATGATTTTATGAGCGCCTGAAGATATAAAAGGCGGTTTTAACATTTGAAAGTTCCAAACTTGTTGATTTCAAGTCACCCTTTGATTTACATCTCACCCCATAAAGAAAAAAAATATTGATTTGTCCAATAAATCTAAAAAATCAATATTTTTTAAGGCGAGATCGTAACATCTTCGAATTCCCCCAAAACACAAAACAATCAACTTACATTAGTTCCCTATGCCCATAAGGTCGATCAATCATAATTTCGCTTCGTTGCCTAAGGTTATATTTAATTTTCCAACTCTTCAAATGTTGAATGATGATTATCTCGCAAGATTGCCAGTGGAAACGCTGAACACTATCATGACCTATTTAAGTGATGATGAGCAGAAAAATCTTTCTCAGACATGCAAATGGCTATTTAGGATAGTAAGAAAGTATAAATTCGGTTTTGTCGCACCCTTCTGGGAGGTTGTCAATTTTGGAAACGTCGACGGTGTCGACTCCGATTTGATCGCCTCCAATTACCGGGATGGTGTTTGGATCAACGATGTATTTT